TGCTCCAGGGACCTGACTCTGGTCTAGGGCACGAACTGGTCCTGGCCCGGGCAGAAAGCACTGACGAGGGCACCTATATCTGCCGGACCCTGGATGGTGCACTTGGGGGCATGGTGACCCTGCAGCTGGGCTGTGAGTTGGGGAGGGAGTGTTGGCGGTAGCAGTGATGAGACATGGGGCTCCTGGGGGAATCCAGGCCCTGAGTAAGCCCTCTGGGATGGGTAGGGGCTGGGAACTTCTCGGTCTCCAGCTGCACCCTCTGCCTCTAGACCCCCCAGTCCGCCCTGTTGTCTCCTGCCAAGCAGCTGACTATGAGAACTTCTCCTGCACTTGGAGTCCCAGCCAGGTTAGCGGTTTACCCACCCGCTACCTCACCTCCTACAGGTGTGTGCACGATCGGTGTGTATACCTATATGTTTGGGTGTTTAGCAAAACGTGGGTATGGGAGGTAGGTAAGGAGGTCCTAAGGAAGGCCTGAGAGAGAAGGAGGACCCTCCTTTCCTTCCTGACCTCAGATGGCCTCCTCCCTGCCAGGAAGAAGACGGTACCAGGAGCCGATGGCCAAAGGTAGGACATGAGGGGGAAGCTGGGGGCTCTAGCTGGGTACCACAGTGAGCATTTCCAAAGCTCAAGACCACATCCTCTCTCCTAGGATGAGTCCATCCACAGGGCCCTGGCCATGCCCACAGGACCCCCCAGGGGCTGCCCGCTGTGTGGTCCATGGGGCAGAGTTCTGGAGCCAGTACCGGATCAATGTGACTGAAGTGAACCCCCTGGGGGCCAGCACACGCCTACTGGATGTGAGCTTGCAGAGCATCTGTGAGTACCCACTCCTAGATCTCTCCCCAAATCCCTACCACAGAGACCCCAAACGGACCCCAGAGTACAGGTGCCCCCCAAATTCAGAACTCTCCTCCCCTGAGCTCCCACATAGCTCCCTCCCAACATAGACCCATTTCGGCACACAGATGGCCCCCATGGAGACTAAGAACCCAGGGAGATCAGAGCCCAGGAGGCAGGCTTACATCAGCTTCTAGAGACTGCTGCCACTACCCCCTTCCCTACTAGTCCTTCCTGGCTGCCTAGCCCCAGTGCTGCCTCTCTGCTTCTAGGCCTTGTGCTGAAGGCACTTCTATCTCATGTCCTCCCTGCCCAGTGGAAGCGGGTCACCAAAGCTCTGGCTGGAATTTGGGCCAACTCATCTTCCTTGGATGGAAAGCAGAATCACTCTTTTTTTAAAAAATTTATTTATTTTATTTATTGATTTTTGGCTGCATTGGGTCTTCGTTGCTGCACGCAGGCTTTCTCTAGTTGTGGCGAGCGGGGGCTACTCTTCCATTGCGGTGCGTGGGCTTCTCATTGCGGTGGCTTCTCTTGTAGCGGAGCATGGGCTCTAGGCGCGCGGGCTTCAGTAGTTGTGGCACGTGGGCTCAGTAGTTATGGCTCGTGGGCTCTAGAGCGCAGGCTCAGTAGTTGTGGCGCACGGGCTTAGTTGCTCCGTGGCATGTGGGATCTTCCCAGACCAGGGCTCGAACCCGTGTCCCCTGCACTGGCAGGCGGATTCTTAACCACTGAGCCACCAGGGAAGTCCCAGAATCACTCTTTAACTCACTCAACAAACATTTCAAAAATCTGTCCTCAGATCTTAGCTTACTTTATAATAGGGATGACAGATAGATCCTGTGCCTAATGGATGATCAAGCTTAAGATTTCCCCAACCTCCTTGGAAGTGCCTCCCCTCAGGGACCTTTAGGCACACACCCATCTTCCCTTGGGAGGTGGTGGGGAAGGGATGAGTACCTGTCTTGTGCCCTGAATTTGTGTCTCCACTGCCCCCAGTGCGCCCTGATCCACCCCAGGGGCTGCGGGTAGAGTCAGTACCTGGCTATCCTCGCCGCCTGCGTGCCAGCTGGACGTACCCTGCCTCCTGGCCCCGCCAGCCCCACTTCCTGCTCAAGTTCCGGCTGCAGTACCGTCCAGCACAGCATCCAGCCTGGTCCACGGTGAGGCCCTTGGAGTGCGTGCCAATCTAGGGCTGTGGGTCCTGTTTCTAGTTTCATGTTCCTGGGTGTTCTGCGTGACCAGATCTGGCAGGTCACTGACGCCCCGTGGCCTTCCCCTACAGCGTACTCTCCGTGGGCCAGGCCTTGTGCTGGGTGCTGGGGTTGTAGCAGAGACTGAGGGACCGAGCCTCTGCCCTGCAGGGCTGTAACTGATCTCAGCCCATCTGTGGGAAGACAGCAGTGATTTTTTAAAAATAACTTTCCTAGGAAAAGGAGTGCCTTTCAGCCAGAGGCACAGCCGCATACAAACACTCATATACTCAGATGTGGATAGAGGTGAAGTCCCACATCTGGAGATGGCAAAGATTGGCCAGCATCAGGCCTGGGGAGCTGCTGCCTCAGACAATAGCCAATATTTATTGAACACCATCTGTCTGCCAGGAACTGTGCTACACATTTTACATGTATTATCTCATTTAGGTGTATTCACCTCTATTTTACAAATGAAGAAACTGAGGCACAGAGAGAGGTCCAAGGTCACTCAGTAAGTGGTACAGCAAAGATTTGAACCCAGGCAGTCTGAAGTCACAGCCTGTCTACGAAACCACTGTGCACTTTTGTCTTCTGAACACTAGGTGTAGACCTGACACCACCAGCCACCCTACGTGAGGCCTAGACGGCTGCATCAGGCTGACAGGGACAGGACTGGGAGGAAGGGGTGCTCTTTGCAGACTGGCTCTGGGGGGCAGATAGGCTGAGTGCTTATAACCTGGATAACGTGCCGACGAACCATCTGCACTGCCAGGTGGAACCGGCTGGATTGGAGGAGGTGATCACGGACGCTGTGGCTGGGCTGCCCCATGCCGTGCGGGTCAGTGCCCGGGACTTTCTGGACGCAGGCACCTGGAGCGCCTGGAGCCCCGAGGCCTGGGGTACTCCGAGCACCGGTGAGAGACAGAGCCTAGGGAAAGGGCAGAGGCCCCGCTGCCGAGCATCTATCGGCGGAACTGCAGGCGCTACGAGGCGGCGTGGCAATTGCGGCCCCAGGCTTCACCTGTAGCTGCCTGCAGCCCCGCCCTAGCTTAAACCCTGCTCCAGATTAAACCCCGCCCCTCAGCCTCCGCCCTTCAGCCTCCACCCCTGCTTACATCCCCAGAAGCTGGCTCTGCCCTTTCCAGCTCCGCCTCCGAGGCACCCCTGTGTCCAACCCTGGCCCTGGCCTCGCCTGGCGGGCCCTGGCCTCCGCCCCGACCCCGCGTGGATAGTTCTCCTCAGGTCTCGTCTCCCTCCAGGACCCCTACCGAAGGAGATACCAGCTGGGGGCCAGCAACACGCGCAGCCAGAGGAAGAACCTCAGGCGGTTAGCCCTGCTCCCCCAAGACCGTCCCTCCTACCAGACCCGCGGCCACTTGGTGAGCTTGGGCAGATGGACAAAGGTGGTAGAGGATGGGAAAGCCCCAGAGAGAAGCGGGCACCGAGTTTGGTCAGGCAGGCTTGCTCTCACAGCTGGCACGTGACCCTCCCCCTCAGACCACAGAGACGCCCTGGAGCAGGTGGCTATGCTGGCATCTTTGGGAATATTCTCTTTCTTGGGACTGGTGGCTGGGGCCCTGGCACTGGGGCTCTGGTAAGTGATTGCCATTGGCCTCTCATCCTCTGATCCCACACAGGGGCTCTGATACCCATAGACCACACCCGTTCCCACCCCTCATGACTTTGCACTGAACGTGTCTGATTCTGGAACCATTCCTCCTCCTTCTCCCACCCCCAACTTCATGATTCTCACCCTTTCCTCTCTTGACCCTTTACTAACAAACCTTTTTGGAAGAGACTGAGATGCCCCACATTGTCAGGGAGACAGCTTCCTTTTTGTGCTCCAGGCTGAGGTTGAGACCATGTGAGAAGGATGGACCCCAAAAGTCTGGGTTCTTGGCCCCGATGATTCCGGTGGACAAGCTTCCAGGTGAGTATGACCTCTGGGAGGTTTGGACTTGGAGATGTGTGCCCTCATTTTGAGTGTCTGGTTTATGAGCCAGGTGCCTTAGTCATAAGGGTTTTGGGAATCAGAGTTGGGTCTCCTCATTCTTGTAACTTCTGGACTCAGGGATGGGCCTTTCGTTCTTGAGTCCCGGGCTCAGAGTTGGGTCTCTTCTGTCTCTTGCAGGATACTGGGGCTCCTAGATGGATTCCCTCCTCATTTTCAGGGTATTATTAGGCTCAGAGCTGGATATCCATCCTTATTCTTGGGATGTCTGGATCAGAGCTGGATCCCCTGCCTTATTCTTGACGTGCCTGGGCCCAGAGCTAGGTCCACTCCCTCATCTTCAGGGTATTGGGGCTTACACAGAGGTGGGCTCCCCTATTCATTTTTGGAGTGTTGGGTTCAGAGCTGGGTCTCCTCCCTCATTCTCAGGGAATCTGGGACAAGATCCAGTCCTACTATCTCCCTTGATTTTCCTCCTTCTTCTAGGAGTCCCAAACCTGTAGAGGATCTTGGAAGGCTTCAGCTGATTCCACCTATAACTCTGTCTTGCTGGTGTGGATGGACAGACAGGTGGAACCCAGGCAGGACAGCAGATCCCCACGGAGTGGGGTTCTCAGCTGGAAATTGTTTGGAGCTCATTTCTATGAGACTCTGTGTTCCCAACTTGCCAGCTGAAAGGCGCCTGGACCTCTGGCTTCATCTCAGAGTTGGCAGTCCACCTGAGGAATGTGTGTAGATGTGTATGTCTGTGTCCGTGTGTGTCCACGTGTATGTGAGGCAGGGAACATGTGTTCTCTGCATGTATGTATATAGGTACCTGGGGAGTGTGTGTGGGTCCTTGGCTCTCGGCCTTGCCCCTGGCGGGGGTTGTGAAAGTGTGAATAAAGAGAATGAGGAGGTTCTTCTGTTTATTGACATGTCTCACAGCTCCGGATTCGGGACTCACAGGAGAATACACAGAACTTGGAGACCACAGTCAGAGACTACTGGGCGATGCTGCTTTATTATTTTGGCTACTGGGGGCCCCGGCCCATTTTCCCTATCATCTCCAAACTCAGTTGGGCAGAGTCCCCTGGAGCCTCTTCCCTTGGCAGTCAAATCACAGAGTCAGGCTGCGGTTCTGGGGGTGGATGCAGACGCTGCGTCGAGACAGGTGAAACCTGGCAAAGGGAAGGTCCAAAGCCATGGTCGTAGCTTGGAGATGAGGGTAAGGCCCAGGGGTTAGAGGCAAAGGCCAGATGAAAACCTGAGTTGGCATCAGAATTAGCAATTGGGGCGGGGTTGAGATCAGCATCAGGGGTTGGGACTGAGGTCAGAGCCAGGGGTCAAATCAGGGGCAGAGTCAAAGCTCACACGAAGGCCTGGAGGTGACAGTTCCCATCAGCTTCCTGAAATTCCACTTGGATGATGTTCCTCAGTAGTTTGCTTGAGAGTGGCTGTCGGTAGAACGGAGTACAGCATGATGTAGTGCTGGGTGCCAGTGGCAGTGCTAGGGGACAACAGGACCATGTGTTCAGAGGGCTTCTGACCCTAAGCTCCATCAGATAGCTGGAGACTGGGCTTCCTGGGCCCCTTTCCCTCCATCCCATTCACCCAGACCCCTGGCCTTCTAGACCCCCAAACACTCACCTCCTCCAGGGTCTGGGCTTAGGAGCAACAGTAGCAGCAGGAGGCTGCTGGTGGGTGAGGGCCCCTTCATGATGCTCAGCCTGGATACTTCCTTCTTTCTCTGCCTCCTTCCCTACCTTTTATCTGGGTGCCTTTTACCTGGGGCACCAGGTGAGTCAGCGGCAGGTGAAGATGTATTGCTCATCCTGTGACACTCCTGGGCCCTAATTACCAGAGACCCCTGTGCCACAGACCCCCTCCTCTTTTAGGACAGTAATTTCCCATGGGCTCCTAAATCCTGGGCAGAGAAGCTGGGGAGGGGGATTGTGCACATGGGGACTGATGGTACAGTAACTGAGTAAGGGCGGCCAAGGATCCACAGTGGCATCCAATGATGGACATTAACACTCACATACTCATAGTTACACATTCACAGTCACACCTCAGTCACTCAATCAACCTCACATGGTCAGACAACCCCAGATGGAATCATACAGTCCCAGTTATACTCAAAGTTCCACTCCCACACGGTTGTGTTTTCACAATCGTCCAACCACACAGTCACACTAGCACACCCAAATTCTGATGGGGGAGTTGTGGGTGGGCTGGGAGCAGATGGCCGGCCAGCACCAACTTGCCTTCATTTCCCCCTGCCTGCTTCCTGCCCTAGCCTGCTTGTCTTATTAGGAAAAATTGATGGGAATGGCTCCCTAAAGCAGGCCCTTCTGACTGAGGAGGAGTCTTGCCTGGGCCAGTCACATTCAGACTGCGAAGCTGGGAGAAGGCCCTTTTTGGTGGTAATGGGTTGCCTTGGGGATACTGAGGTGTGGGTTGCTTTCCCCAGGAAGATGAGATAGGGAGGAAGGATGGGGTGGATAAGGAGGGCAGATGAGGGAAGATAAAAGTTCTTTGGTGCCAGGTTGCTGCTGTCCAACAGGTAAGAGACGCAAGAAATCTTACGTTCCTGTTTTTGCCTAGTCCTGTCCCAGACAAGCCAGCCTCTTACCAGCAGGGGCCTGGGGTTTCCAGCCCCTGGCTTATTGAGACATCAGATTCAAGAGCTCAGTTACCTCTCCTTTGTTCTATTCAAATGCCAGTTTCTCTCTATTGTGGGCCTGGAAGAAACCCCCCCCTCCCCAACCCCTACACCCTCTGCATCCCATCCTCTTGCTAAAGCCCCGACCTCCCTTTACCTTCCTGTCCCTTCTTTTTAAATCCCATATCCAGCCCTCACCCCCTCTTCCCCTAGCCACCCCCCTCCCCACCCAATGCAAAACTATTCCTCATCTTCCTCCTCCTGTCCTTTCCAGGAAGCTGGGGACAGCCTAGGGTGGGGGCAAGCTGCTAAGTTTAGTGCCCCTGGCACCCTGAAGAATTTCCCACTCCTGGTCTGGAGATTTGAACCCTCCTGTCCTGCTCTATATTTTAAACATAAACTGATCATCACCCAGTAATCCAGCCCTTATCTGGTTGTTGCAGGGGTACCTTCTACAACCTTCTGCTCTGTCACCAGCTACCCTCTATGGGGCAGGCCTACTCTTGGGATGGGGACTCACACCTCCCTGGGCATCCTTCTGCTGCAGGGCGGCTGCAACAATCAGGAGCGACCCTAAGCTCGGAGAGTAGGGACTAATCCCCCTCCCAGGCTGAACGACTCGAGCTTCTCCCGCTCCTGTCCAGGGTAAGGCTTGGGGGCTCCTTCCCTGGAGCTTGTCTTGTGGATACTCAGGAAATCTGAGTATCCTGAGGGATTCTGAGGTGCAGGCCCAGGGCTGGACAGGGTACTCTTTTGTCAGGGTTCTCAATGTAGACATTGTGAGGAAATGCCTCAAGAGCCTGGGTCCATTCTTGAAGGTGGCCACAACCCAGAGGTCACTCATCTTGAATTTCTAGTACCAGAGGCCTTAGGGTCTCTCACCCACCCTCCAGTCTGGACTTGTACCCCAGAGCTCGGGTGCACCCACTGAGGCACCATCATCTTGTCACAAATCTTCAGCTGGCTGGCTGTCACACACTTTGGAGTCTTTTCTGGACCAGTCAATCCAGAGGCCTGGGAAGGAAGAAACAAATTCTTCCAGGTATGCACCCATCTCTCCCCTTTGGCTTCTCCAAAGATAGGGCCAAGTCTCTTTTTTTTTTTGCAGTATGCGGGCCTCTCACTGTTGTGGCCTCTCCCGTGGCGGAGCACAGGCTCCGGACGTGCAGGCTCAGCGGCCATGGATCACAGGCCCAGCCGCTCTGCGGCATGTGGGATCTTCCTGGACCGGGGCATGAACCCGTGTCCCCTGCATCGGCAGGCAGACCCTCAACCACTGCGCCACCAGGGAAGCCCGGGCCAAGTCTTTTTCCCAGCTACAACCTGCTATGGCAGGGTCAGCACCAGGCTGGAAGTTACCTCTGACCCCACCCACAAACTGGGCTGTCCCTTTAACTTAATTCTGTGGTGCCCTCCCTGGTGCTGGGGCCAGTCCCTAACTGAAAGCAGACCCACTAGGAGTCCCTGACCCTTCATCACTTCAGGAGCTAGTGGGTTTCAGCCCAACTCGGTGACAAGACAGAAAGGAAAGGTAGGGAGCAGTGGCCCTTGGGTTCTCCTAGGGAGGTTACACTTTGGGGGGCTGATGCCAAGTATCTATGTACCGTTGCTTTTTTTTTTTGGCTGCGCTGTGCGGCATGCGGGATCTTAATTCCCCAACCAGGGATCGAACCCATGCCCCCTGAAGTGGGAGCATGGAGTCTTATCCACTGGACCATCAGGGAAGTCCCTGATACCAAGTATCTTTAAACTTGGGATCCAACTGGAGGAGCCAGAAGCTGGGGTGTTAACTGTAGGAAAGACCTCCAACAGTTCTAAGTCATTCCCCTATGGCAGGCCAAGGGTAGCAGCTTCTAGGAATCTTTCCCTCCTCTCACAGCCTACTTCCTACAACTATGGGCTTAAAATATTTTAGATCCACTCCCAGGAGAAGATTCTTCAGGCACCTGGCAAAGTCCTGTCTAGGAGGAAGGTGGAAGCAGAGAGCTGGGATTGTGAGGATTTATGGATGTGGGGACAAGGCTGGGAGGAAGATAAAGCCAGGATTATTTAGCTCCCTCCATACAGGCCACTCATAGAGATGAGTGTGTGTGTGGTGGGGCGGGGGGCTTAGGTGGTGGAAGGCAATCACTGGTAGTAAGGGGAGGCCTGACCCTGATGAGGGGCCCTTAGGAATAATGGGAGCCTGGACACGGACGGACACCCTATCAGGGACAGAGGCCCTGTCAATACGGAAACAGCCGGCGTGGAGAGGGGCTCCCAGCCCGAATGGCGGCAGCGGCGGCAGAATCAGGAGGGCAGGACGGTGGCTTTGGTTTAAATCTTTAATGCACCAGCTGGCTGGGCAGTGGCAGCGGGGGTGCGGCGGGGGAGGCTGCGACCGGAGCGCTGGGGAGCAGTGCCCAGTCCACTTGACAGACAGCTCATCAGGCCCCGCAGAGGCTCCAGCTTCTGCTCCCGAGGGTGCGCTGAGCTGTGGGGCGACCCGACACAGGCATGAGGCGGGGCGGGGGCTCCCGGCTTCCCCGCGATCGGTTCTCCCGGACTGAGCCTCGTCCATGCCCTGGGCGGGTCCGCGGTATCGCAGCCCCCTCACCTCCGCTCCCTTCGCCACATGCGCAGCCAGGGGAAAAAGTAGAAACAGCCCCAGTAGATCCTGCAAAGAGAAGGCAGAGCCGGGCGGGGCGGGGCGGGGCTGACCCCACCGACTCCGCCCCTTGGACGCCTCGCCCCTCTCGTGGAAGGCTCCGCCCCGCCTTTTAGAGGCGGTTCCTCCAGCCCACGCCCCCTAAGAGGCCCCACCCCTCCCGCTTCTCCCGCCCCAGAAAACTCGCGCCCTCCCCGCCCCTCCCCCACCACCCCGGAGCGGCTAGGTTCCTCCTCCGCAGAACCCCGCCTCCACTCACTCCTCCTCAGCCTCCAGCGCCACCTCGTATCTCCTCAATCCCGACATGTCCTGGGTTCCGAACGTCTCCTGGGGAGCGGCATGATTGGATCAAGGATTCCCCAATCCCGGATCCCCTTCTCTGTCATTCTCTGGACCAGTCTGACTTGTTCTCGGGTAATATGAGACAGGTGCCCCCGGGAAAACTCAGTTGCCACATCGGGACAGGGTAGGATTGAAGATTTGGGAGGCACTAGAGGTTAAGGGATTGGGAGGTCGGGCACCTCGGGGGCATGGGGCATTTAGGGGGTTAGAGCCAAAGGCCTTCGAGGTCATGGGGCTGGGATATTTGGGGCCCCGGGTGAGGATTTTCGGGGATTGGGGTCACCTGGAGGGGGGCTGAGGGGTCGACGCAGCCTAAACGCCCACCCTCCCTGGCTCCACCCCGGAAACAGGCCGGTACGTTACGTCACAAGGACACCGTCACGCACTAGGGGTGGGGCTTACCTATTACCCGGAAGGGGCGGAGCCAGGGCATTTCTTCAGAGGAGGCATAGTCCAGAAGGTGGAGCCAGAGCCTATCAATAAAGGGGTGGAGTCAGGGCTTATTACTAAGAGGCAGGGTACGGACCCTCCTTTATAAGGGTGGAGTCAGATTTCGGAGCTCCACCCTGGGAAGATGGAGACCTCAGCACCAGGCAGTATGAAAAGAGCTTTGGGACGCTTCCAGTACTCTTTTGCCATCCCCTCTCCTCTCTGTCTTCTTGGCTTCTGCTCTGACAATTGCCTTTCTTGTTTGCCCCATTCTATTTTTATGATTCTGGGCAGAGGAGGAATAGGGCTCCAGAGAGGGCCCAGTCCAGACAGGCCAGGCTATGGGAATACTCGTTGGCTGAGTGGCCTTGGCCAAGTCACTTCATAGTTAGAGGGTCACAGCCCTTCCTCTCTGAGCTGAGACCTCCTTTCTTGTGATTTTTGTTCCTGCAGTCACTAATCAACAAATATTTATCGAGTGACTACTATGTGCCGGGTGATGTGCTTGGGCATGAGGATATAGCAGAGAAGACAGGCACAGATTCTGCCCTCAGAGAGCTTGTCATCTAGGTTGGAGGGGTGAGGGGAATCAAAAGAGACAATAAGATCACTACAATAGACGAAGCTGACTGGCTGGGGGCAGTAGAGTGTGCTTTGGTAAAGCCAAGAAAGAGCAATTAACCCGGTGTGCGAGGTTGGAAATAGCTGCCCTATTTGGTCTGGGGAGGGGGGAAGGGAGCCTTGTGGCTGGACGGTATGGGAGAGAATGACCAGAAATGAGTGAAGT